TAATTATTCGTCTGGGTGTTCCTTTTTTGGAACAACTTCATTTACCTGATATGTTTTAAACATAAGCAGTTTTCCAGTTGCAAAGAGTGGAACACATAATTTTATACATTCAAAAAAATGCCACCCCCAGTCAATTTCAAAAAATCCCACATAGTATGTTTTTAGTCAAATTACAAGGTTCATGCCAAGAAACATCATTACAGTGTTGTGGAAGGAAGCAATATAATGTAAAAACACATCAATGTTGCTCAAATAATTATAATATTGTCAGAATATTTGAAACATGTCCTGGTGATTGAGTAGTAATTGATGTCTTTAACATATTAAAGATATCTTGTTAACCATGGAAAACGGAGACTTTTAAACTAACTTTAATTTAGGTTGAAGACTTATGAAAAATTTTAAACTAATGCTGCTAAAAACTCTAAAAGGAGCTTTTTTTTGATTTTATTGCTATATTTTGAGGAAAGTTTAACAACTTAAATTTTATTAAACAAAACTGAAGCGTATATATTTAAAGCAAAATATTTTTCTGATGTGCTAATGTGCACTTAGTTCGTTGAAATATATTTGGTTATAATGTTAAACGAAACTACTTCTTTTTTAAGATGTAAGACAGACTAAATTAACGGTATGTACTCTTATAAACCACTGTGTAAGAATCACTTCTCGTCAAATATATCTTCATGTTATAAAAATGAATTTACATAAAGGGCGAGAATACGGGAGCAGTTGCGGATTAAGACTACGTCAAATATATCTTCATGTTACAAAAGTGAATTTACATAAAGGGTGAGGTTACGGGAGCAGTTGTGGATTAAGACTACGTCAAATATATCTTCATGTTACAAAAATGAATTTACATAAAGGGTGAGGTTACTTAAGCAGTGGAGAATTAAGACTACCTCAAATATATCATTATGTTGTAATAATGAATTTACATAAAGGGTGAGGTTACGGAAGCAGTGGCGGATTGAAACTACGTCAAATATATCTTCATGTTACAAAAATGAATTTACATAAAGGGCGAGAATACGGGAGCAGTTGCGGATTAAGACTACGTCAAATATATCTTCATGTTATGATAATAAATTTACATAAAGGGCGAGGTTACGGGAGCAGTTTCGGATTAAGACTACGTCAAATATATCTTCATGTTATGATAATAAATTTACATAAAGGGTGAGGTTACGGGAGCAGTTTTGGGTTAAGACTACTTCAAATATATCTTCATGTTATGATAATAAATTTACATATAGGGCGAGGTTACGGGAGCAGTTTCGGATTAAGACTACGTCAAATATATCTTCATGTTATGATAATAAATTTACGTAAAGGGCGAGGTTACGGGAGCAGTTTCGGATTAAGACTATGTCAAATATATCTTCATGTTATAAAAATAAATTTACATAAAGGGCGGGGTTACAGGAGCAGTTGCGGATTAAAACTACGTCAAATATACCTTCATGTTATAAAAAGAAATTTACATAAAGGGCGGGGTTACGGGTGCAGTTGCGGATTAAGACTACGTCAAATATATCTTCATGTTACAAAAATGAATTTACATAAAGGTTGAGGACTTGAGATTACGGAAGCAGTGGCGGATTAAGACTACGTCAAATATATCTTCATGTTACAAAAATGAATTTACATAAAAGTTGAGGACTTGAGATTACGGAAGTAGTGGCGGATTAAGACTACGTCAAATATATCTTCATGTTATACAAATAAATTTAAATAAAGGGCGAGGTTACGGGAGCAGTTGCGGATTAAGACTACGTCAAATATATCTTCATGTTACAAAAATGAATTTACATAAAGGTTGAGGACTTGAGATTACGGAAGCAGTGGCGGATTAAGACTACGTCAAATATATCTTCATGTTACAAAAATGAATTTACATAAAAGTTGAGGACTTGAGATTACGGAAGCAGTGGCGGATTAAGACTACGTCAAATATATGTTCATGTTATAAAAATGAATTTACATAAAGGGTGAGGTTACGGAGGCAGTGGCGGATTAAGGCTACATCAAATATATCTTTATGTTGTAATAATGAATTTACATAAAGGGTGAGGTTACGGAAGCAGTGGCGGATTGAGACTACGTCAAATATATCTTCATGTTACAAAAATAAATTTACATAAAGTTTGAGGTTGCAGAAGCAGTTGCGGATTAAGACTACGTGAAATATATCTTCATGTTACAAAAATTAATTTACATAAAGGGTGAGGTTGCAGAAGCAGTGGCGGATTAAGACTACGTGAAATATATCTTCATGTTATAAAAATGAATTTACATTAAGGGTGAGTTTACGGAAGCAAGGGCGGATTAAGACTAAGTCAAATATATCTTCATGTTACAAAAATGAATTTACATAAAGGGTGAGGTTACGGAAGCAGTTGCGGATTAAGACTACGTGAAATATATCTTCACGTTAGAAAAATGAATTTACATAAAGGGTGAGGTTACGGAAGCAGTGGCGGATTAAGTCTACGTCAAATATATCTTTATGTTACAAAAATGAATTTACATAAAGGGTGACGTTACAGAAGCAAAAAAAAGTTCACAAATTTTGGTAAAAAGTTCTTTCCCTAAGTCGTTCATAAACTTGAAATGCAGATTTTAAACCACTTTCCAAAGCACCTTGTATCCACTTCGGGGTAAAAGGAATACCTTCACCAGAAAAATGAACGTTTCCCATAGGCTCCCATAAATACTTAATTTTGAAAAAAATATAATATATACCAATGTTTCTTTTTAAATTGTAAGTTTTTATTTTTGAGAATAAAAGTTTGAGTAAAAATTGAAGAAGCTACCATAGATAAACGAAAATTGTCCATAAAATGTTATAAGTTGTATTTAACGTTATTTCTAAGTATATAAAAAAACAACAATTTTACAGAGATTTTGAGAAAAACATTGAAAAAAACGCGACGAGCATTTTTACAGTATTATCTTATAAAAAATAATCTCGTTTCTTAACCTGTCACTTCAATTAAAGAATTATGCGTTACCACATATCATGCACACCTTATATTTTTGTTTTGAGCAGCTTTCATTGCTCCATACGCTCCTTGATAAGATGGCTGGTTATACCAAGCATGAACAATACACGTTGTCACCATGTCTTCTTTGAATGCCGGATGGATTTCTGCGAGTTGTTTCATCACCTTTTGTTTCACTTGCTCTTCTTTCATAGATCCAAAAAGCAGACCTTCATTTTTCCATGTGTAGATCAAAACAAGTCCTTCTTTTGTATTGAGATCTTCCGGAGTGACATAATGAATCTGACCTATGGGAAGGCTTGTCTTAGAAACACCACCTTTGATTCCTTCATTTTCCCAGAATCTCTGCTTGGTCGGAATATAAATTTTTGTTGATTGCACAATAGAAACATCTTCACATTTAATATACACGACAACTTTTTTGAAAATAAACATGTTTCGACATCTCATGATGCCATCTTCAGTATGAATGAAATAATAGGTGATACAGGGTTTATATAAAAGTAATATGATACATAAATTAGAACAATAAAAAGGAAATAAGATAATATAATGAGGAGCGTCCGAGCGTATTATAAACTAAATATTGTATTGAATTTAAAAACTTGAACATTGAGGTCAGGGTTAGTTTTGCTAATATGGAGTGCTTCTTTGATTTTAAGGGTGAATGAGGTGTCGGCAGTGTCGATGATTTTGAAACAAGAGGGTGAATAGTTGGTTTTGCATGAGTGTGATTTAAGAAGGTGTCGGTAGATGTGAGAGTTTTTGTCTGTTATTCAATACAATATTTAGTTTATAATACGCTCGGACGCTCCTCATTATATTATCTTATTTCCTTTTTACTGTTCTAATTTATGTATCATATTACTTTTATATAAACCCTGTATCACCTATTATTTCATTCATACTGAAGATGGCATCATGAGATGTCGAAACATGTTTATTTTCAAAAAAGTTGTCGTGTATATTAAATGTGTATTGGCAATAGTGCTTTTACGAAATTATAGAAACATCTTCCATAGCTTGAACACATTTTCTCATCGCCAACTGGGATTTATCATTATGAAGCTTTGGTTTGAAACTTATTTGACGCAAAGTATTTATTGGGGTTGCAACAATTACTGACTAAACAAAAATCAAACAGTTTTCAAAGGGTTTGCTTAGCTTTTATTCTTAAAAACCAGGAAAGTGCACTCTCTTAGGTGTATATAAAACGATATATGTAATTTTTACAGACTATCCATGTCAATGAAAGTGAAAATCATTGAGTTAAAAATTCCTTTGAAAATTGTCATGGTGATTGACAAGTATAACCAGTTCTAACTATTGCTGAAAACTACAATCAGTTAGATAGCTATAATGTAAATGACACAATACGTTTGGGGAGACTTCTCATTATGTGGCAACCAATGGTTACGATTTTATCTTGCCAGGTACTAAATTTTAGGTCGGTATAGTGTCACGTTACGTCAAATACATTCTTCAGGTATGAAAATTCAGTTCTTAGTGCAACATCAAATCAAACAATTACTTTTGGTAAAGTTTCAGGAGACCTGGGAGATGGTAAGATTTCAGAAAACAGGCACTTAAAGATGTCTCAATGGGAACGACCTACAGACCACACTAATTCCCTGAGAAGACCGGGTTCGCGTTGAAATTATATTCTAAAAGCTAATGCATGTGCCGTGAATTAAGCTACACGCAACACTCAACTCTTTTTTTGTTTGTTGCGTGATTTTAAGTAAGGTGTGCCAACGCACTCAACTTGTCGAGCTTTAAAATCCTGGGAAAACATACGTTTCAGTGACCAGCTAAAAATTCAACTTTTTTCCTCCCGACGCCCTTATTCAGCATATGCACTTCACAGTGCGCATGTTCTAAAATAGTAAAGAATGCTGCTCAAACGCATTGAACAATGTTGAGATACGGTTCGGGGTTCAAAGAGCTATAGAGATAATTTAAAAGCTGTAAACTGAAGTACTTCAGAGACAATGCAATTTAAAATCTATTGATTTTTCCTTAGACGACAAACAACTAGTAAAAGCAGTGTACAAACCCTGTAGAGCTATACGGATAATGTAATCGCATAGGATGCGAACAAAAAGCAAAGGCAAACTGCCCTCATACCAGTAGTAAGGAAATTTTTGTCACAATTGAGGCCTTATAACTATTATATACAAAATTGTAGCTATTTGAAAAGAAATATTGCACAGAAACCAGCCATACATTTTTGAAAAAAGTGAAAAAGACCAACAAAATAGAAGTATCAACTATCCTTAAACTATTCATACTCGATGTTCAATTTACTAATCTCTCGTACCTTCGCATTATACACATTTAACGCTACGTTACTTGAATAACACGACACCTCAACGAGATCTTTCAGAGGATACTCATCTTGATACCAGTAATTTATTTCGAAAACATGTTTGTTGTATTCTATGTCATCCGTACTCAATCCTTCATCGTTGAAAAACGCTTTCGGCAAACTATGCATACCTCCTTTCAAGCAATGCATTTCATGAGAATACCATTTTCCCAGTTCAAAATCAAGATAGGATCCCAGTGACTGATCAAGCTGCTCCGTATAGCAAAATACAGAATAACCACGAACAGCATCATTCGACCATGGCAAAAGATTTCCAAGTTTAACTAAATCCAAGTCTGCTTGATCTTCAACAGGTACTTTAGCTTTGATTACCTCGATATTACTTTCAACAAAGCTTTCCAACGTAAACTGACTCCAGATTTTAATCCAACGTCCCCATGCATTCACTTGATCATGAACACCTTCTCATTTCGACAACCAAGTGTAAAGCTGGTCTGTAACAGCACCGATTGTTTCATCATAATATTTTTCTGCAAAAAAATGGAGGAAGTTTACTAAGTCCTTAGCTAATAGCCGAGGGCGAGGTCTTTACGGAGAATTATCCGACCGAGGTCTTTATGTACAAACCGAATCCGCAGGGCGAAATTTGTACAAAAAGACAGGGGTCTGATATTTCTAAGCAAAGACCGAGAAAGCGAGGTTACTAAAAAGTTTATTATATGGCATTATTTGACCTATAATAATTTCGATTAATCATGATTAAATGTCATTGCTCTCAATTTATAGAAAATGCCTCCAAGATTTCTCATTTTCAGAAAAATTCTTGCAAGAATAAAAAACAATATGGCGATTTTCGGGAAAAATAGATTTTTAATAAAATTGAAGAAATTAAGGTCTCGTTACACTTACCAACATCCAAAACATCGTCTTTTAAGGCATTATTCATGGCCTCTTTCCAGTTCGGCCAAATGTTGTCAAAATGCTTCTCAGCCCAAACTGCAATGTGAAAACACGCCGAACGTCAAGTGGTTAATTTATTACCCGACACTGAATTATTAACCTGGACGATCATCATTTACAAACATGTAATGATTTTTTTGGTGACCTAACTCTCCTTTTTTTTCTTTTTTTTTGCCATGCATGCAAATGAATTGTTGCAATAATTCATTTGTTTTATACACTTCACCTTCAGATTTCTCGTGAAACCCATAGATGCAGGTAATGACATTTTTGTCAAAGTTAGGAAAAGGTTTTATGGACAGATTGAAACTTTTGATGTAACCGTCCGCCAAAAAATGCGGTCTGTCTGATTGATCATTAGCATCACCTGGAAATCGCATAGCCCCCACTAAAAAAATAGAACAGTTCATTTTTTTCAAAACTGTAAGATTCGATGCTAAAATTTTTCTTAATTTTCTGAGGAGATTCATCAACTAGAATATCAAAGTATTTAAATTTTAAAGTTTTTAATGGTTAACATATTTTGGCGTATGTGTTGGTTGCGTAACCTGCTCATGCATGCTTTTGTATACTTCATCATTACTAGATGAAAGACTGACCATGTCACTAGAGTCTTTGTGTTTGAGACATTGTAGAGAATTTGTGTATGAAACAAATGATAAGAGCAAAATATCAATGAAAGTAACAGTTATTTTTTGGCGTGTTGATGGCACAAGTCCTAACCTTGAAATGAAAAAAAAGGTTGTTGTCACGAAAGCATAAAAATGGGGCAGTTCAGCAATGGAAAAAACTATGGTCTGATCAATCAAAATTTCATTTGTCTCGTTCATATGAGTTATTTGTCGTGCCTATACGTAGTTTAGCATTTGGGACATTCTGTAACGATATTGTGGTTTTTGGGGTAATCTTGGGGAAGGAAAATCGGCTGACTGCAGAAATGAATACAATTTTAGAAAAGAAGCAATACCACTCTATTTTGCAAAGAGACACAAATACATCTGGAAGAAGAATCATAGAAAACTACTTCATTGCACAGCAGAACAGTGACCAAAAATAAACGCACTTCTACAAATCCCAAGTAGCTAAATAGCCACACCAAGATATTTGGGTCATAAAAAAACTCCTTTACCTCAAGTCCTTTCGTATGCAAAATGTATAGATGAACCGAAAATTCAAAACAAAGTCTTTGAACTTTGTTGTCCCAAATTTCACTTAAAAGACCAAATTGCTGTATACATGTTTTGTATTTTCGACTACAACATTTAGGATAGTTGTTTTGATAGTTAAAAATGATGTAGCTAAACATCTAATGACAAAACGGAATTATAAACAGTTATGAATTGGGTGGATTAAGATTCTTGCCAAATTAAAGTTGTAATAAATTGTCGGATTGTTTATAAAATTATGGACGACATGAAATGATTATAAATTTAAGCAAACACCCACTACGGAACAAGTTTATCCATACCTTCTGCAAACAAACCAGACGCAAGACCACTTTCTTTACCATACGTAAAAATTCTTCCCCCATAACGGTCCGTTTGCTCTAAAACTGTCACAGAAAGACCAGCTCTTTTCAATTCATACGCTGCACTTAAACCTGCCATTCCTGCACCAACAATAATGACGTCACTGATTTTTTCATCTTCAGTAGCATTGATAACAGATCTTGGAAGTTGTGTTTCACGTGGATTATATCTGTAACGATTGTAAGCTGTTTGCAAACCTTCCTCTTGGATACATTTCAGAAACGTTTTGATTAATTCACTTAGCTGAATTGGAACTTGATTATTTTCAGGACGTTTTAAAGAATTGTCATTTTCCCAAAATCTTTTACGAGTTTTAAGATATTCTGACGCCATGGTGTACTTCTTGATTGGACAAAATAAAGAGTTTTAATGACTAATGAGTGCAAGGATACTTATTACTTTATGCATATTGGAAGTATACATACGGGACAAAATTTAGTTTTTCGTTAAATGATCGTCATTTTCAATTATCGAATAACCACAATAAAATGAGTGCGCTGATCGGTCTATACTTGGGTTATTATTAGCCTGTGGAAAACAAATCTGAGCTAAAGTCATTAAGCCGAAAAACAATCCATTAAGTCTCTGGTACGCAAACTTAGATTTCTCCCGCCATAAAACCAACAGAATGTAGTAAAAAATCTTTGCGGGGCATTTTACGTTTGGTTTGAGCTTCAACCAATTCTTATTTGGTATTACATATGTTACAATGTGACCATGATTTTGCTATAAAATAACTGCCCAGCTGGGATCTCCGCGTTTATTCAATTAAGAAATACATGGCAAAGTTAATACTTCAACAAAAATGTATTGCCAACAATGCATCAATTAATCTCATACTTATACTAACTCTCAAGGTAAACAAAAGTTTCTACAGAAAAGAAGTGATTAATCTACTACGTCTGGCTTTGGATCCTCCCACCCCCACCCTCCCTCCAAATTCAATGGATTGCTGTACTTTTTAGACTGAATAAAGTGAATATCAAAAGTACACGACAAGATTTTTAGGCTTTCCTTGTGAAATTCGCCCCGGTCACATTTCACGACGAAAAAATTTATTATTTAATTGTTCAAATAGAAAGTGATGGTAAGGTGTTTCTGCGTCTAAATTTCCTTAAGTAATTAGTGCAACAAAGTACCATTTATAAACAAAGAAGAATAAACTTCAAAAAAGAAATACACATAAAACATGTTGGTTTCGTTTATTTCAAAAATTTTGAGCGCTGCAAGGCTAAGCGCAAATTGTCGTCAATGAACTTGTTGGAAAATCACTGCCTCGCGTCAACAAAATTACTGCGGCCTTCAAAGAAAAAAATTACGACTTCGTGCCCTCTTATGTTGTGTGCATTTTAACTTGAAATTATTAAATTTGGAAAATATTTATTCATTATAATTTTTGCATATATAAAAGTTGTGCTTGGTTTGATTTCAACTTGAAGGTGTTTTGACTTCAAAATTCATCCAAGAATAAGTTGCAATGTACATTCTGTTGCTCTACATTTGCTGCTCTGAAATGTTTTATTAAGCACGCTATTCTTTTATGAAAGCTGCAAAGTTTAAAACAAATGCTGTAGTGTAGAAGTGGGATAAAGGTAGGGCAATTGGTGGAGTAAGGGGAGGGGGAGAAAAAAGCCCCGTTACACAAGATCTGGGAGTTAAGCCCCCTTCTGCTTTCGAAAATGGATAATTTAATAAGAACATGATTGACGAAAACTCAATGTATTTTCAAGAAGTACAATTTAATTATTAAAATCACGTTCTTCATGGAGCGATAACTCTTCTTGTCTAAATATTTTCCCATGTCCATGCCAGCATTCATTTTTTCTGTTTATTTTTCGAATGGAATAACTTAGATTAAAACTTACGCGAAGAGCTGCTGATAGCTGCATTGAGTTGCACGGGCGCAAAAAACCGACAAATATTTACTGAGATCTGGTGTTGTATTCTCATTTAAGTGTCGATGCTGTTCCTCATCGTATGTAGGTCAAACCACACGTCATTTGAACATTAAAATATCGGAACACAAATATCGCTTAACAGTGAAACCTTCCTCTTGTCCACCACCGCCCACAATTCTTTCCCATATAAGAAACACATCTCACTCTGCCGATTTTAATGACTTCTCAATTCTGTCTTCTTCCTAATACAATTATGACATTATGATTCTTGAAAGCCTTCTCATATCTAAGCTTAAGCCCTCTCTTAACACCCAAGGTAACTCAATCCCTCTTCACCTCCTTTAATATACTCTCCTTTTTATTTTATTCCGTCATCTGAACTTTCTACTCTCCTCATATGTAATTTAACACCTTGTAAATATATACTTATATTTAAAGCCTCATGCAAAAATTTCTATAATTTAATCTGAAGATGTTTTAACATTGGCGTCAATCCTGTGTTTATTAGGGGATGGGGCAGCATATTCATATATTCTGCTATGCCTGGCCTAATTTCTTTTCAAAACAATATCACTTTCAAAAGAAGTCAGCCTGGCATCACAGAATATATGAATATGGTCCTCATCCAACTATCGCAGGATTGGCGCCAATGTGTCTTAAGTTAACGTCATTAATAAAAAACCTTCATTTATTATTTCTGATTTACTATCGTGATGGACTTTTTAGAATTCATATGTAGAGCTATTATGTTCATAATGAAAATATTATTGCTAGTTTAATTTGAAAGGCTGTCATTACTGTTTTAGAATGATATTATTCCTGTAGCAGTAGAGTAATAGAATTTAGTATACAACTACACATAATGCTATAAATAATGTTTTCGTTACTGTGTCGAAAATTACAATAATTTATAAATTATAAGCTATTGCAGTAGACTCATTTTCTTAACTTTCAGAGCTTGTCACGCATAGCGAGGTATGAGTGTGTGTAAGTCTATTTCAAATGTATATTAAAATAGCAGTTGTTACTTGTAACACTTGTGATCATTCATATATGAGTCATTTCGGTGAAACATTGTGAATATATAGGATAATGCCAAACAATGCTGTCGCGTATTTCTTACAATTTCATGGCTTCAGTCTCGTCAAAAGAGCACCCTTCCTCTGATAAATTTAGTTCTTCAGAACTGTTCATAATTTTTCTTTCACTTGAAAATAATTTACAGCAGTAAATGATGAATTTCCAATCTTGTCATTTTGCAGGTTGATTCTGGCATACTGCAGCTATATATTATCAGCAGTTGATGTGGGGTAGGTCAAAACATATTAAAGAAGCTCATTTTAAATTTATAAGACTTTTTTAGCAACGCTGTTGGTTGGAAATTTGTGAAGAATATTTAACACAACAAAACTCCCAACAGGATATGCTCAAAGTATTTGAAAATAGAATGTGTGTTCAGTTATGTATTCTGACCATCGCAAGATATGACTGTGTTTACTATATAGTGACAGCTGTGACAAAGTTTATATGCTTCCAAACGACAAAATAAAAGTTCCAGCAAATATTGCAATTCTTGACTTGAAATTTATTTATATTGGTGATCTGATACAAAAAATATTCACTGTTATTCTGAGATTCAGATTCAGATATTCAAATATATCACTGTTATTCTGAGATCCAGCCAAAATGAGCATGCATTGGTTAATAATTAAGTACCCATAGGTTACTTGCAAGTAAAGATTTCATTTCCACACCGCATGTTTTTAACTTGTTTCTTAGTGTAAATTAATATCGATTCTCCAATTAAGATTCAAACTGCCTTTACTAGTATGAAGTGTGATTGGCTCTATTTAATTTAAGCTGAACTATGTGAAAAACATGCTTGATTTCGTCGAGACATATTATTTATACTAACGGCTTTAATCAACTATAATTGAAAACTTTGAATTTATTCCCAATTTATGTAACTTTCAATAATATTAATTTCACAAACCTACAGCTGTTGAAAATACGCCACCAAACCGACCAAAATTTAGTATCATAATGTCAATGTAACAACACCGCCATTTTTTTGCATTCAATACTTCATGTAACTTCTGCTATTACTACAACATCTCGGAAATTTTCAGCAAAAGGAAATTAGAAAATTCCCGCCTTGGCTCAGGACAGGCAACAAAATTTTTTTTGTAGGAGGATTAGTTCACGCTCATTTACAGTTTGAAAATTTCCAATATTGAATGTGCTAACTGTATGTATGTGTAAGTAAACATGAAAAAAGTGTGAACAATTTGCATATATATCTATAAAGAGTTACTATTTGTTATTTTTCTCTAATTTTTACGAATAAGGAATGATTCAAGTAAACGTATTTCGACACTTTTTGTTTTCTATTGTTATATTTTTTAGGTGTTTTATTTAAAAATCAACTAATGGAAAAGAAAAGAGTTTGGTCTTATGATGAATTGAAAGGCTCTTTTTGGCTTTCTCTTTCATTGAATGGCAGTGTCATAAAAAAAGTTATCCTTCTTGGAGTATGCATTTGTTAATATAATAATAGCCATGCTTGAAAACTTCCACTGCAAGCTTTCACTAGAAAAAATGAACATCATGAAGAACCACAAGCATTAAAATTGACGAAGAAGTTATAACTACTGTCTTTGAATGCCATATACTTTGTATTGATGTCTATATCCGAAGAACTGTAACCATTGCTCAGCACAGCAGCTACTTCGATATACTTTTATCTCTCCAAGTCTCATGTGGAACAGTTTAAGCAATAACATCACTTCAGATAAGCTTGACGCTGAAAAAGATCAAGGGAGAAATCAAAATGGCTGTGATGTTGGATATGAGTATCCTGATTTGATGCTTATTCCTTACGGCTGCGCTGCGAGAAATTCAAGAGTTCGGAATGAATTTAAGGTGTTGCAAATACTTGGAAAAAGGAGGGTTTGCTTCAGTTGCAAAGGTAACTTTTTATTACATACACCGTTTAAATAGACGGTAATTTAGTCATGTGAAAGAAAATTTGTTTGTGATTTAATTTTTGAAATGTTTTATATACGCTTTGATACGTAATATATTGGACGGCTGTCTGTATGCGATCAAAAGAATTCCTTTGCATCCGAAAAGTGTTAAATTGCTAAATTGCTCGAGAGAGAATTTCCTTTCTAGATTGAACTATGCAAATATTGTAAGGTAAAAAGAAATTTACTATCCAAAATGAATCAAAATTTTATAACATTAAGGGTGGAAAGCGAAGTTAAATTTAAGCGATACAAATTGCTTTGCTTGTTAAATGTTATCTTTGTAAAAACTATTATAAAAAAGTAGATAGTCCCTTTTTTTCATGAAGCCCACGGATGCTTTTGTTCATGATGAGATAGTTATAATTTATAACAAGTTTCTCGTTTGTCACAAGAGAGTTATGAGAAAGTTACATTGTAAAAGACATCTAAAAAACTTATAGTCAAAGAGGCAGAAGTTCTTTTAACCTTTGCAGTATCCTTGGATGTTCTAGTTTCTCTTATGAGACAAACAAAAAGATATAATTCAAAAGCAAAAAACCCCCTTTTTGTCCATGCTTCCTGATACCTTCTTAAGCCTAAGGCACTACAACGCCGCATGTTAACGTTTCGAATGGAGATTTCGGCCCGTCCACGCTATCCTACTTGGGGATGCCAATACGTAGCTAGCTTCCGTCCATCAGACCCCGAGATCACCTGCGATAGGCTTTACTCCGGGTGCGCAGGGAGAGTGCAGTCGCGACCGAAGTCTGGGCCCCTAAGACACTGCATACTATATCGCACCCAGCTTCCACTGCTAGTTGACATCTACTATATGAAGTTTTATATTTATATATATATACCTAATTTCAAAGGCTTAAAAAAGTTGTGGTATTATTAAAGGTCACTACTGCGCATACCCAGATGATTTCTTTGATAATTTGCGATTAAGTGAGCTAATTGCCACAAATGTAGTGCAAGTACATAAAGTTAGTCGTTGCCATGACTATGAACAATTATTCCATTGGACTGCGCATGCTCGAGCGCATGACCAGATGATTTCTCTATTAAATTGTTGCTAAGCATGCTATTTACTTCAAAATCAGTTCTAGTAGATGCAATTGGCCGTTACCATGACCGTGAAGTTGGGCAGCTAATAAATTCGAATGCTCATGCTCAAACAGACTGCGCATGCGCAGATGATTTATCTCAATTAATTTGTGACCGAGAGAGCTCTGAAATTGGTGCTTGTATATGCGCTTGGCAAATTTTCAATGTATACTTGGCATGCTCTTTGTCTTCTTAAGTTGTTTTGACGAATGCCTATCAAATTCCTCAACACATTGTTACGGCACTCATAATATTCATGACAATGTTAGATATGTTTTTATTTTCTCTATAACTTTGTATCTGTATATTTTGCCTATAAACAATGCTCCAATACTTATGACAGATACTGTAATGGATTGAGGTAGAACAGATACTTGAAAATATAACCTCCAACAGTGAAACGAAATCAAGCAAGACAGAGGAAAAAGAAAGACGCCAGGTTGAAGAAAGCTTGATGAAATTGAACGTAGTAGAAGCACCTAGCGTACGCTCGAGAGTTTTGCATGAGGATTCGTGGAAATATCAATGAATCACATATACAGTTTGTAAGCTCGTTGGCTCACGTGGTATATGGTAGTTGGAACTCTTCATGATGTTACTGAAGATATGTAAAATTAACTACCAGCGTCTTTCCTTAAGGACGAGGCATCTGATTTCGAAAGTGAAGAGGAGGCAATCACCACAAGAGATTTGCAAAAGATTCAAAGTGTACTCTTCAATCCCTAGGTATATACAATTGGAATATTGTGAGGAATGTTATTGACGAGGGATAGTACAAGGAGCAATAGAGAATGTGGCGGCTTCTTATTAAAGTATTGCAATGTGTTTAAACACATAGCGGAAGAGACTTGAAGACACTGGCGGAAAAGTATTTACATTGTTCAAAAATTATTTTGAATTTAAAAACAGCAGTGCGAGTTGTTATTTATTTATCCAAGCCAGATCCACTGACTGCTTAAAAAATGTATGATGCATGTATGTCTTAACAGACATTAATTTCTCAGCGAAATGTAAATTTTATCAATAATAACTGTATCCATGTGTGATGAAAAATATAAAAATGGTTTACTTTTTGTGGGCTGGGAGGCTACCTTTGCCTAAGGTTAGCGACTCAAACTTACTGTAAAAGCGAATAAAGACTCAAAATTATATAGAATAACTCAATAGCTACTCTACTATTGCATTACTGAATATACAACTAATTTCTCAAAGAAAAATCATTTATGGAATCATGTAGATCGTCCAGGCTATTTAACCTCTTAAAATGTGAATTATCACGTATTGAAATCCTTGTGATTAAATTGCCTTTTTCAAATCGAAGCACGATTAGCTCTAAGTAATATACTCTATGTATGGGCAAAACAGTCTGTTTTTTGGTTTTTTTTATGTATTATCTACACACATTTATATTTTAGACTGACAGAAAGTATTAAACTATAAATGACAAAATCTTTGGATTTTCACACTTTTTATGTGACGCTAAGTATTTTTAATTTTACAAACTTACAATGCTTGAAAATATTATGAGGAAAAAGTCCAAGCAGACCAAAATTTAGTGTCATTTGTTTTTGGATGTAAAAAATCAAGTACTTCATGTAACTAGTGCTGACTCTTAGAAAGGTCTCGACAATTTTTCACAAAAAAAAGTTCTTTCGAAGAAAATTCCGGTAAAGTAAAACATATTTATTTTTTTAATTTACTTCATTTACTTGGATATTTAACTAACTTTAATATAATTTAATCCTTTTTCAATGAAGTGTATCTATATAAAGTTCTCCTCCATATATTGTTAAGAGGTTTCTTCCATGATTCCAATGTTTATCAAATTTAACTAAAAAATTAATCGTTGAAAAAACTGAAACGTTTTCAAATAAAATAACAAAAATTATAAAATCTTTTAAAAAATGATTTAATTTTGAAAAGACAAATTACTTGAAATGCGAACACAGAAAAAGAAAAGTGTGTTGAAAATGTTATAAATCAGTACGTCAGTGGCCAAGTACATGAAACTAAAAGTTAGACTATAAAGGTTTTCATAAATAGTGGACACAAACTTTAATCTCAATTACAGAAAAACCTCACAATATATGGTTCCAGGTTCTTTCCATATGTCGTTCATAAACTTGAAATGCAGCTTTTAAACCACTTTCTAAAGCACCTTGTATCCACATACGGGTAAAAGAAATTCTTTCACCAGCGAAATGAACGTTACCCATGGGCTCCCATAAATGCCTAATTGGGTAAAGAAATATTATGTATGTTAGGTAAAAAGTAGTTTGATAGAAGTCTACCATATATAAAGATGAAATTTCCCATATTTCTCAAACACTTTTACAAATATAAGAGGAAATTCTTAAAAAAACACAACAAGTGTTGTCAAATTGCGTTACAAAGGGCCATTTGTTTTTTGTACGTTAAGAAAATGAAAATAAAATTATAATTTTCTTTTCGTTTTTCTTGTTTTGTTGCGCCAATCTCTAAAAAACCAATTTTAAAATTGAATTTTTGTGTTCTGGAGAGTGTGACATTGTAGTCCTAGTTATAATACGACTGCAGTGTTTACTTTGAAAATCAGAGCATCAATTTAACCCAAAGCGTACATTAAAAACAATATGACTTGCAAAACTTCCTTGTATCTGCGAGGTAAAACGACGGGTAAACAAACTGTAAAATATAAATACAACACAAAGTGTAAAGTAATGAAGTTTGATCTAAAGTAAATGGTTTGAACCCGGGAGTATCGTTACATGTTTGTAAATGTAGATCGTCCATGTAGATGTAAATGTAGATATAAATGTAGAAGTTTAAAACGAAGTTTCAAACGAGCTCAACGAAGCAGCAACGTTTGAAAACTACATTGTGCGTTGACATTGCACGGTGAACCATCAAAGCTGCGGTCCTGCTATTTTTGCAAAAGCTTGCTTTTATACGGGGAATGTGCAGCTAAGCGTTAATGAGATGTTTAATCTTTTGCTTATACCAGAATTTAATATTGGTTTTGCAGAGGTTAATAAAACAAAAAATTTTTTATTTGCATTTTTATGGAGGAAAAAATGAAAACTAAAAGTAAATGTCTTTCGTTTTCCTAAAGCATTAGAAAAAGAATGGCTCTTGAAGAAATTGTAAAAACAGGAAAATAGCAACTTGAAGACAAAAATGAATTAGCCCCCTACTATTCACGTATTATTCAATTATTTAGATGTGATAAAACCGGGAATTTCAACCATTTCAAAAAAAAACATTAAAAAAATTATGGCAAAATCGAGTCGCATTATTGTGCTTCAACATATAGCTGAGGTTTGTAGTCAAAACAAATATTATCTAGTCTCGTTGTTCTTTATTTTACACTAAAAAGTACCGCAGTTCTTTTCTCAAAACAGTAGAGACTACTATTTCTAAGTAGTTCTTTTTTAATTTAAAAAGAAATAAGTTGTTGGGGTCTTGCTTATCTACAAGTACGTTTCTGAAAAATTACAGTTCACCCCGAAGTTTTCGCACCTTGTACTTTCGTAATGAGATGTTTTCACTTCTCCATACGCTCCTTGATAAGATGGCAGATTATTCCAAGCATGAACAATAAAGGTTGTCACCATATCTTCTTTGAAGGCTGGATGAATTTCTTCGAGTTGTTCAACTACTTTCCGTTTCACCACTTTTTCTTTCATCGACCCAAAAAGCAGAGCCTCCTTCGTCCACGTGTAAATCATTAAAAGCCCCTCTTTCGTTTTGCAGTCCTCCGGGGTGACGTAATGAATCTGGCCTACGGGAAGGTTTGTCTTTGAAAAACCACCTTTAATTCCTTCATTTTCCCAGAATCTTTCTTTGGTTTGAAGAAAGATTTTTGTTGAATGCTGATTAAAAACATTTCCCATTGCCTGGACGCTTTTTATTATTGCCAACTGGGATTTGATATCATCAAGCTGTGATTTGAACCTTATTTGACGCAAAATGTTTATCGGCGTGGTAATAATTACTGCCTACACAACAACAAAACACATGTACAATTGCGATTATTCATTTCTTGAACAAGAAGAGAACACACTCTAGTTTATGTAAGAGGATAGTATTTTCTATTCATAGTTCAAAGTTTTCCTGAAACATTTTACAATTGCTAGCCATTAGTTCAAGAACGTTGTAGGATTGATTAATTCGATTCAGTGATGTCGCTAGAGACACGCACAAACATGCTTAAAAATCACGTCATAATATTATGCTTGTTTGTGAAAATGGTGTTTACACAGAAAAATCCTTCTAAAGTGGAATAAATATCAAAAAATGCACTTTGTACAATTCAGTTGTTGCTAGCAATTTTTGCAAAACATTAGCAAGCCAAAAAATAACTATCGAAAAGTACATAGCAGGTTTCAGGAGAAAAGCATTCCTTAAAAACGAAACAAATATTAGGGAAAAACATTATGATTTTCAAATTTGGTTTCAAGTGAACTTGCAAATAACAAAATAATTTTAATTTCCTAAACTCACCTTTGCCTTATACAAAATGTTGCATTATTGACAGAAAAACATGACACCTCTACGACATCTTTCAGTGGATATTTTTCTTGATACCCGTAAAAACGCTTTGGGCAAGTTATGCATACCACCTTTCAAGGAATGCATCTTACCAGATGACCACTTTCCCTGTTTAAAAGAAAGAAAGTGGTCAAGGGACTGTTCAATTTCGGGCACATAGCAAAATACAGAAAAACCACGAACGGCATCGTTAGACCATGGCAAAAGGTTTTCAAGTTTGACTAAATCTAAGTCTTTCTGGTCTTCAACAGACACTTTAGCTTTAATCGCATTAATATTACTTTCAAGAAAACTTTCCACCGTGAACCGACTCCAAATTTTAATCCATCGATCCCAAGCATAGACTTGATCAACCACGCTCTTGGAATTCGATAACCAAGTGTAAAGCTGGCCAGTGACGACATCTGTTGTTTCTTGGTAATATTTATCTTCAAAAGGAAAACAAACAAGTTTATTTTTAATCGTGATCATCGTCCAACACAATCAAATCAAACAGTTATCAACTTGCCATGTAAATAGTCTCTTAATTTTGATGGCTGACTTATAAAAACTGGGGGAAAAAAGTCTCATTAAACTTACAAATATCAGTTATATCTCCTTTTAACTCTTCCTTTATACCATCTTTCCAATTTGGCCAAATTTTGATGAAATGTGTCTCACACCAAACTAAAAAAAGTCGTAGTACAATCTATCAAATTCAATGATGGTGAAGTTAAATATACAGCTCTATTAACAGTATTTAGAAGTTAAGTTTATCGTCATAACTGTTAATTGCGTATCAATTGGTGCAAACAGGTTACAAATTTTACAAAAAATATTAATGGCTTGAGTGTATTTTGCGAAGATACCAAAGCTAAAAAACGAATTAGAAATTGGCTAATTTGATGAGGGTATCTTAAGAGAAATTTTTCTGTTCCTAGCCGCTTCACGTATATCCTCTTACTTCGCAAAACATATAGAACTTTATTACAAACTTTTTGTAGTGTCTACTTTTGAAAAATTTACTTTTAGTTTTTTCTCAAAACCCATAGATACAAGAAACGGCATTTTCATCGTAGTTTGGAAAACTTTTTATTGGTAGATTGAAGTTCTTGATGTATCCATTTGTCAAATAATGTTGCCCCTCATATTGACCATCGGCATCACAAGGAATTCGCATAGCCCCTGCTAAAAAAGAAAGAAAAAGCAATTCATCTCTCGCACAAATTATTAAAGGGCATTTATAATAGTAAGGTTACATGACACTTTTATCAAATTAAACTCTTGATTTCAATAGTAAGCATAATTCAACTTAATTGACTTTATCAAAGCTTGAATACTCAATTTAAGATCATATGAGATGCCATCTTGGTTTTCCTTTTTTTATAGTCAATACAAAAGTAAACGGTTGCACATATGTTTTATGACATGGTACTCATCACACTTTTGTATTATAAATATGATTTATTATTTTTAAAAACAAATATAGAACTCAAACAATTATAAAAATGGTGAGGACTAATAAAAGCATCTCAAAAATTTTGTTATAGCTATAAACATGAAACACTGAGCAGGTCACCAATTCCGGGCACCATCTTTCTCGTGAGTTTTTTTTTAATTTTTTACGTCAACAGAAGTGTACTAGCAATAATACACTATTAAAGATGGATTTCAAAATAGCAAATACCATGGTGAGTGGTGATAATAACAATGTAAAAGTTCTTAAAAGAACTGTTTTAACAAAACACTAACCTTTTTAACAAACACTAACCCAACAATTCAAAGGAACCGTTATTTACAGCTAGAAAGAGACACTATGCATTTCGGCAGACTACTCGTCAAGTGTTAACGTCTGCAAAATGAGAGCCTCCAAATCATGCTATATTTATAATGTTACAGAAGGTCAATATCATCCCTATTTTTAGAGATGACACTTAAAACAGAGACAGATTAAACACGTAATCGTTTTGTCGGCAAAGGACACAGCGAGTGTTTCTTAAAAGATGTTTTCCAAAGATGTTAAGCAACACTCGCTGTGCCAATGCTTATTCTGACGAAAACTTTATAATTATTAAAAAATGTCGCTCGTTATTCCAGCTACGCGTCATGGAGTCGGTGTTAATTAAATTGACTAATCCTGTCCTTTGCCGACAAAAGGATTACGTGTTTAACCTGTCTCTGTTTTAAGTGTCATCTCTAAAAATAGGGATGTCATTGACCTTCTGTAACATTATAAATATAGCATGATTTGGAGGTTCTCATTTAGCAGACGTTGACACCTGACGAGTAGTCTGCCGAAATGCATAGTGTCTCTTTCTAGCTGTAAATAACGGTTCCTTTGAATTGTTGGGTTAGTGTTTGTTAAAAAGGTTCTTTTAAGAACTATTACATTGTTATCATCACCATTCACCATGGTATTTGCTATTTTAAAATCCATCTTTAAGTTTGTCACCACGACAAAGTCTCTGTTTCATTAAATAATACAATAATTGTTTAATTTGTTTTAGATGAAAATAAATTTCTGAGGCAAATATTTTTAATTTTTTTTTTTTGCTTTAAGATTCTTATGAAGTATTTATAGCGCATACTAGTTTCTACCTTCGAACCAAAACGTTTCCGTTTTTCCCATATTTACAGACATGCAAAAACAGAGAACTATAGGAAAATACCTTCTTGTTACGGGTAGCTATAACTTCACAAGAAAATGTAACTGTCGAAAAATTGTGTACATTTGATGTTAAATCTCATGTGAAAAGTTTTGATTGCTAAATTACCTAAGACAAAAAGGAAATTGTGTTTAATTTATGAAATTATAATAAGTCATTTTTAACTTCAACCTATTGCTCAGCACCCCATTCTAAAAATGTTAAACCAAAATAAGTTGAGAACACGACGGCGTCCTCAACGCAGTTCTCTTCAACATTAAGACGGCGTTGTCGTTTTGTTTTATTTTGGCTGAAAATTTTTTCTATTTTATTTGAGCTTTCGCGTGCCTCAGTTCACTCCGAACTTTCTTCTACGAAACCCAACTGCCACAAATGCAATCACAATAATATTGAGCAAAGTTTTCAAAACCATTAATGGTGTTAATTTACATGACACTTTGTACTTAAATGGCATATTTAGCAGTATTATAAACGTCAAAAAGTGGGCTTTTCAAGAGTTAATTCAACGAATCTCAATAAATCATTTAAATAAAACGATATTCAATATAAGCATGCAAACAACCTTGGCTAATGAACTCACACCTTCTGCATATAAACCAGATGCAAGACCACTTTCTTTACCATACGTATAGACTCTTCCTCCATAGCGCTCTGTTTGCTCAAGAATTTTCACAGAAAGCCAAGCTTTTTTCAACTCGTACGCTGCAGATAGACCTGCCATTCCTGCACCCACAACGATGACGTCAACTATAGTTTCATCTTCATGTACAGTACTGACAACCGACCTTGAAAGATTTGATTCCTGAGGCTTGTATCCGTAACGATTGTAAGCTTTCTGCAAACCTTCATCTTGAATACATTTCAGAAATGTTTTTATGCAGTCATTGTGCTGTATTGGAATTGGATTGTTTCCGGGAAGTTTTATAGGTTCATCATTTTCCCAAAATCTTTTATGACTTAAAAGATATTGTGACGCCATTTTATACCTATTGAATGCAGAGTATAAGAAGTTTTAATTAGTGCAATGAAAGTAAAATAAATCATATACAAGTCAACAATGTAATATATGACAATTCAAAAAAAACTTTGGTTTCTAGGAGACATTTATAACAATTTCAACCAAAAACCCTCACTAAAAACACTATGTCGTGTTCTTTAAAAATACCTTATCATTGTGTTAAAACTTGCTAATGATGAACGAACGTAAATTTGATTTACGATGTAATTTTAACAAAAATACAATGTTCTCGGGCGTCTAAGCAATACTCTTTTAATAAATACTCCTTTCGACCTGTATTTTCAAAGACATAAAAATAAAAAGACAAAAAAAAAAACCCCAAACGTTTACTGAGTACATTGTCAACTTGCTACGTTGTACAGTTGAGTTTAATATAAAACTGGAGTCGCAAGTATGTATTTCACCATCACATGTAAATACAATTTTGATTCAAGATCAAAACACTCTTAGCATTTAAAGGTTATGCAACTGATTTGTATACAATACTGTTCCCATTTTTTAACGGCATTTATCCGTCACTTTTTATGCTATTTCAAACAACTTTATCTGAAACTTAATCATAAAAAAATCACACATACTAAAAAATTACTTTCCAAAAATTTTTCATTAAGAAAAAGATGCACAAATCAAAACATGCTTTATAGAAGCGGGATATGAGTGTACATTTATGAGAGACCTTTGTGAGAACTTTCGAGCATGTGCAAACCTCGACCTTCGGTTCCAAAGGTCACCTCATATTGCATTAGCCTGTGCAAACAAAGCAAACATCTTTTATTTCTGAAGTAATCACGTAACTCTTTCGACAAAATGTAAAGATGTACAAGTTTTATAAAACATGCAGCAAGTTTTGTAAAACGCAAAAACTAAACGAAACAAAAAACATGTAGATATACAAGTCGTAAGAGAAACAAGGGGGAAAAGATTAGCATTTAAACGTCGCTCATTCATACGTAGGCATTAATGAGATTCTCGTTGCAAGTTAAAAGCTTCAATCGTGGAAATAAATAAACTGGAAAAAGGAGTCACGGTTTAACTTTCTATTTTCAATTTTACCTTAATTATCATGATGAAAATGATTGTACTTTCACAAATGCAAAATACTTACACACTTCTTTCTCAGAAATTTTTTACAAATCATCAGCAAGGTGAATGCTTCCCTGCATTCTGATTGGCTGCAGAAATGGGCGGTATTTTACGATATATGACCGCAGTCAAGAATCAATTTTGCAAATTACATGAGCATGAGTGGCGGATCTAGGGGTAGGCAACTAAGGCATTTGCCTATGGTAAAATTCCTAAACCAATCTGATTTTGATTTTATACGATCAGGATACTAGAACAGCAAAATACTAATCGATTAACATAGCCGAAATTTTTACAAAGAGTTATCATCTTGCAAAGAAGGTAAGGTTCTAAACGCATTGCAAAATTTGTAAAAAATTTTTTGTAAATTATATTGATATATTTGTAACTTATATAGATATATTTGCAAAAACATCTATATTTTCTATTGCGAGCTAGAGGAAGTATCTTGCTGAAAGGTGTGTCTGCTTATAATTTTCTTCAGAAAAGTGGGAGAAACGTACATCAGAGTTTCCGACACAAGTGGACCTTCTGTTAAGATATCTATTCTGTGATTATAGGCACATTAGGCATTATAGTAATTTACTGCTTAATATTTATACGTCATTCGTCAGTGTTCTACAGTTATAAATATATGTTTATACATAGTTCATATAATTGTTGAGATAATTGCAGGCTAGATCATTGTTACATAATGATACAAAAATAAAAATGTTCATGTCATGAGGTTGCCATTCTACATCAAGCAGTTTAGCAATGAGTCTGTAATAGGGAATGGCTTGATCATTACGAATCTATCAAAACATCATTTGATTGGCTAAAGTGCTTTTCTTCTTTCTGTAAACAGTTTTTGCAACCATACTTTAGTTTTATGGTTTGATAATTCACTTCACTGGCAGTGATTTTGCTGATGAGCTCCCCTGATTTTCTTTTTTTGTCCATATGTTTAATTAATGTTCAAGCAAACCCGTGCCTTCAACTTTTTTGAATAAAGTTGAAATAATCAAACTCTTATTAACCTACTTTGATCTTCAGCTTGGCTTTAACTTGTAAAACAACAACAACAAACAAACAACATTTGTATACCGGCCAGTATTAATCCCCGCCAGGGGGGTTGACCGGTCCATGAACTTTTCTACGCCAAACGTCTCTATCTCTCGCCATATCTCTCGTTATACCCATTGCCTTCATATCACTGTTCACAGCATCCATCCATCTCCTTCTCGGTCTACCTCGTTTGCGGACTCCATCAACATTCATATGCAACGTTCTACGAATTTCAGCACTTTCTTCCGTCCTTTCCACATGCACAAACCACCTCAAACGCTGGCGCCTTACCCAATTCTCGATACACTCAACACCAACTCTTTCTCTAATCTCTTCACTTCGAATCCTATCCATCAACGTTACACCACACATCATCCTAAGCATTCTCCTTTCCGTCGACGCCAATCTTCTCAGCTCCTCTGCTTTCGGCGCCCAACACTCTGCTCCATATCCCAAAACACTTCTAACACATGCCTTGTACAATTCTCCCTTCTGCTTCAACGAAGTCGACTTTCCGCACAACATTCCCGACAACTCTCTAAAACTCCACCACGCTGCTTGAACTCTGTTCCTCACCGCTTGCTCGCACCCTCCACCATCATTTAACACATCGCCCAGATATTTAAACTCCGATACACCTTCCAAACTCACGTCACCCAGTTCAAACCGTTCAATCGCGACTCGCCCACCACTTCGACACGTCCGCACTCAAAATCAGTTACTCTTGTCAATGCACCACGGACACCTGAACATCTTCCATGAACCCACTTACTGCATTTCCCACATTATCAATTCCCTCCGACTCTTTTCCCACACACCACATGGCCATTTATCACTGTCCTTCACCTCCACCTGCCTCGAGCATCTCATGCCCTTCGTCTTTGCCTCATTCACTTTCAGTCCCTTGACTTCTATTGCCGTTTTCCATTCTCGGTACCATTCCATGACTTTCTGCTTCGACTCCGCCACCAAGACAATGTCATCTGCATACAACAAACACCAGCATTCTTCTTTTCTTCTCACTTCCTCTGTCAGTACATCCATCACACAAGCAAACAGTAACGGCGACAAGACTGAACCTTGATGAACACCAACTTTTACCTCAAAAACACCAGATCAAACACCTTCCTCCGTAACCACCGCCTCTACACCTTCATAAGTCTCCATAACTGCCCGAACCATATTCTCTGTCACACCTTTCTTACGCAGAGGGTACTGGATCACATTTCTCGGAACTTTATCAAACGCCTTCTCCAAATCTACAAACACCATATACAATTCTCTGTCCTTCTCCAAAAATTTCTCCTGCAGCTGCCTCAACACAAAACACGCATCCGTCGTTCCTCTCCCCGGTATGAATCCATACTGCTCTTCCCCCATCCGAACAACTTCCCTTAACCTTCTTTCAAACACTCTCTCTACTATCTTCAACGCATGCTCCATCAGCTTAATAGTCCTGTAATTCCCACATACCGTCGCTGCTCATTTTCCTTTGTACAGCGGGACCACTAGACTCTTTCTCCATGTACTCGGCATCTTTGAGCCCCTCAAAACCTCGTTCGCTACATTACACAACTCTCTCACGCATAGTTCATTGTCCAACATTTCGCTACCCACTTCACTCGGTCCCGTCGCCTTTCCTTTCTTCATCTTGCGCAGAGCCGCCGCCACCTCATCAACAGTCACTGTTTCCCACGGCCCCAAAACTTCATCCGCTTCAATTTCTCCATTCCACTCATTCTCTACATTCATCAAACGGTCACAGTACGCCCTCCACACTTCTAACCTGTCTTCCAATAACACCTTCAACTCCCCATCGTGGTTCTGCACGCCGGGAGCACCCAAAATATCGTCCCTCTCCTTCTTGCTCCTTCTAGCCGTTCTAAACAAACTTTTACTTAAACAAACTTTAACTTGTAAAAGGAGAAATTAATTATAGGGTGTTTGTAAATATATCAAGTTTAGGCTTGTATTTGCATAAATGGCTTTGCTACATACCATTAAGCATTAGCGTATGCTTATCTACAAATAAATAATAAGTTTTTGGATTAATGTGTTGTAGCAATAGCATTATTGTTTAAACCTCTTCAATGCAATATGCTCTATTAACCAAAGTGTTGGGTCAAGGTAATGGAAGTGAAGTAGGGTTTTGTTACATATATTCAGAATTATCCTTTATTTATCAAATATTATGTGGTATTAAACCTCAAATAATGACCTTGCATGCTGCACAGCAGATATAAAAATGTGGGGTAAAGAAATACTCCATTTACTGATTTATTAATAAAATATGTAACTTTCATTTTAACCTAAACTGTGTACCAACCTCAGTTGTCATTTAGAAGATAGAAAAACATCTTAAGAAATAATTTACAAATATGAACATCGATGAGCATAAGCTTTCAGACTTTTGTACATTGCACTAAATATTTCTACAATAAACTCAATTCAAAAATCAAACATAGCTCTATATAATACTCTATTTTTATAAATACTACATAAGTTATGACTACATGCTGGCTACTTGGAGTGCAATGATTGTGCAGTAGAGGTAAAGTGTTATAATTTCATGGATTGGTGTACGAGCCATATTTAATTCTTACAAAACACACTTTTTTTCTTTTTTAAAAAGATATTCATGTTATTGGCCATCTATATCAGCTTACTGTTTATTATGTTTGTATGTAAAGGGTGTATTGGATATCAGTATGCACCCACTTGAGTATGTTGTCACCATTTTTATTGATAAAAGCTTACAACTAAAGTGGATTTCAATAAGCCACTAATGTCAGCAGGACTGTATGGACCTACATAATATACGTTGCTTGACTTAATCAATTTTAATCAACATATGGCATGTGTGAATATCCTAAAATTTGTGGACAGTATTCAAAATCCTATGTAAATCGGCACCTGAACATAAAAAAGTTGTTTTATTTTGCTTTTTTTTGTTTGACTTTACAAAGGAAAAATTTGATTGAAATAAACTATTTTAAGTAAATTTGAATTACCCAAAGTAAAATGAACAGTAAAGTTTTGATTGTTTTTATTGTCGCCATTGTTTAATACTGGCACAATGTCAAAAGAAAGGATTGCTTTATTTAATTAAAATGCAATAAAGCATCACAAACTGTTTACATGTCAATTGCTACCTATCAGCTGGTAAAATCATTTAATGAATCAGAGGTGTAACCTCCATGAACTAGATATAAACTTCTTATCTATTCATTTTGAAAATTGATATACTGTAGCTATATGTCAGGCTAAATGTTCATATATTTCAGTTGGACGCTTCTAAACAATAAAATTAATTTTCCTCCAAGATAATTATGATTTGCAATTCGGCCATGTTGCTGATCTCATAAAAATGAAAATTTAGCTGTTAATCTGAAGTCTGGTTTGCACATGGTTGTGACTTATGATTCGGAAATGTTGTTGCAGAGTCGCAAAGATAGAGTTATATTCTATTTTCAAGACATTTACGAAACTGTCATTACATTCACGACATTGTTGCAACACGTTGACGATCATATGGATACCCAGCTTTATTCTGAGCACCGCAGACGTGAATACCTCAAGCTTAGATGCAAGTAAAGAAATAAAGTTCTCATATATTTTTCCAATTTGTTTCTTTAACGTAAGTAATCACATATTATTCTCGAGATTTATAAAGCCTTTCAAAAATTGAGGCAAGATCGAGCCAGATTGTGTCCATATAATTTGCGCTGTATTTTGTGGTGGTAAAACATGCTGTATTTTATAGGCACACATTTTTTAGAATAAAAGCCTTATTTAAGTCTAATGGACATAAATAAAAGTAGTTTTACTTACTGAGCTCAAACATCAATGTTATTCGCATCATAAATCTTTAACTGTTCAAAATATTGCCACAAAGGTCGCCAATATTCAGCGTATTGACATACAACTTCAAAACATTGATATGTAAATAAGATTGGTTAATGCATGAATGGTTCACCATTGGCGGCCCAGAAATCTGTTTAAGTTTTTTATTCAATCGATTTATGTAAATAGCACAGTAAATGGTAAATATATTATTTGATTTATGTGCAATACGTTTGTATGATTTTAAAGGTCGTATCTTTCGAAGGTCTTATGTTCTGATCCGTTTATTTAAATAATGCATTTCAAATGAATTGAACACCAATATTATGTATTTATCAATATGGCCCAATAATCGATATTTCTACACAAGGATGATTTGCTTTCTATTAGCAATTGCAGAAATTTTAATCTCATAATTGACAGATTGTCTTCGCGAAAACAATCATAATTCATTCATAAATTTTCTTTCGCTGGAGAAATTGTAGTTTATATCAGTATTTACGAAATTTAAATCTGTAAAAGATTTTCCAAAAATCGGTAGCAGGACAAGTTAGCTCTTATAAAGCCTGTTTTCATAATTTCGTAGAAGCACTTTTGCTATTGTGCATTTAATATAGACGACGAGTTTTTTTAGAATAGACATGTTTCGGCGTCTCATGATGCCATCTTCGCTATAAGTGAATAATACCTATGTAATACAAAGTTTATGTAAAAGTTTATACAAAGCTTATATAATACACAAATTATAACAATAATAAGGAAATAGAGTCCATAAGCGGTGACGTCTCGTTTCCATGTTGCTAAAAATCTCAGTTCCAAACAAGCGCCCATTCGATTCAAAATGGCGACATTATCCATCGCTTCGCTTTTTTCTTTCTTCTCAGAAGAAAAGAAATCTATAAAAAAGGGGGAACACCACTTTAAGTCAGATCACATTGAAGCATTTACTTACCAGCAGGGTGTTTTACGAGGAGATGTACACGCAAGCGTGAAACGAAAGGTTTATAAAGTGACAGTGAGTTGTTATTCTTTGCATCATCGATCTTTTACGAGTAGCATCTTGCCGAAAAGAACGTTTCTATTTGCCAAACTAAATGCCATTAATCTTGACGATTTATTTGGATGAAGAACATGAAGTAAAATCAACCGAGTGTGAATGTCCAAGAGGCGTGTTTAAATGCAGTCACGCAGCAGCCCTCTTTATTCACGGTATTCACAAACCGAGCCGAACCGACGTCAAATGCCAGTGGCGGAAATGAAGGTCAAATACATCGCTTTCAACTCAAGCGGTCACAGAGATGTTCCCTCCGCCTAAAAGGTATACTGCTCTGTCGAGAAGGCCTACACAAGCTGACCGTTTCGCGTTCTACGAAGACCTGAAGGAATATGGGCGGTTTACGGGGCTCTGCTGGCTAATCAGTCTTGAGCCACCTATTGCTAACCAGCTTCCTTTTCCAACCATAGAAGAAATTATTTTCTCTGACTAGTTTCTTCAAGCCAGTGGGCGTCAGCAGCACCTGGACTGTTTGGTTCTCCTTTCCAGATTACAAGAAACGGACATTTTAAAGGTTAGCGAATTAACTGCTGGCCAGCGCGCCAACCCGGCCTGGTTTTTGGCAAGAAGGGGCCGCCTTACAGCCAGTAATTTAGGCTCTGTCCTAAAGGCAAAGAGGATCACTCCTTCACTTATTAAACGTTTTCTCAGGGAGTACGACCTATCAAGGGTAAAGGCAGTGCAATGTAGTTCTGTCGTACTTTCATTAAAGTGATAAAAATTTGATCCTCAAAATTGATGGATTCTACCTTCCATCCAGCAAAATAGTTCACGCTATCTTTAAATCTAAGATCATGCTTTTCAACAATATTAAAGACTTCTTTGGTTGGAAGAACTGTCTCCATTCGTATTACATCTCCCTCAAGCGCAGACACAGTGTACTTGCTCCTCTTATACTGGACTGTTTGGTTAAGTTCCTTTAGCTCCCTGTTGGCAAAGTCAAGCTCTGCTTCCAGGATAATCTCCTGTGTTGTTTGCAGGTTCTCTTCTGTGTCAGCTACTAATGGCTGTTCATTTTTTCGGGCAAATTCTGTCATCTGTGAAAGAGATTCTACCTTTGATTCAGTTTTCTGCATTTTCTTCGGCGGTGGACCCCTTTGTTCAGTAAATAACTTATGCTTATTGCGTTTAAATGGGGCGAGTGGCTGAATGGTTAATGGCATGAGCTGTAAGCCAGACGGCGCGGGTTCAATCCCAGCTCGTGGCACATCTGGCAATGTGTCTGTAAACCTAGCCCGGGTTGACCAAAGCCATGTGAGGGAAATTTGGTAGAGGAAACTATGTCCTCGGATAGACTGTACCTGTATCTGCAATGTTGCAGCCTTGTCACACTGTGTCACGCTGATATCAGCGTTGTGGTTGCGTGAAGGGTACGAGTTATTGCAGTCTGGTCAGCTGCCTTCACTGTAATTTCAGTAACCAGGATGTTCCGCTTCGCGGAACCCTCATCGTCGAAATCGACGGAGTCCATTATTGCGTTCAAACACTTCAGGACCATTGGCTTTCAGACCATTCCTAAAATGGCAGCTACATACTCTTGAGTACTTGCTGTGCTCTCGATCTTCTCTTCTGTTAATAAAAAAACACCCGATTTAGTGAATCTGTTGTCAACAACATAGCCGTTCCACAACCAACGAAGGCAAAATCGCGAAGCGACGCGAAACATTCCGTGGATCGATCAACCACGTTACATAGCAGAACTACATTGGTTTTAAATGTATCTAAATTCCAAAAACGCGGTGAAGCACTCAGATTTAAAGTTTTGGCGACGGAAAATACAAAGCGGCCGTTAAAAAGACAACTAGCTGAAGCTTCTATAATTCAGTATTCGATGATTCTTCCTCATGTCCTGATGTCAACTCTTCACCTGAATAGAGTCCGTAAATCTCACTTAAAATCACGTAATTCATCAAATTCTCACCAATTAAGGAATTCTTTTTAAATATCAGTTCATATCTTATGAGTCGAATCCATCTCTTGTACTCGTCGTTCTGCTTTGTAGCGCTTGGAAAAGCGAAGAACTTGCAAGTGTTGCCCTCCGACGAATGGACACATGTAGGAGCAAAACAATAAACCATTTTGCCCGTTTGACCCACGTCCTTTACACTTCTTAAAGAAAAGTTGATCCCTTGGATGACCCTTTAACCTTTCCTGTTTTTTTTTACTTTCTTTTGTTGGATTACACTGGATAATTAAAACTTTAGACATTCAAAACAAAGGAAGCCTGGCCAAAGCGCTTGCATAAGATATTTTGTTTCGAACTGCATTTTTTAGCGCCATTGTAACGTGACGTCACACTTAAGGACTCTATGAACTTGGACTTGGCTTCAGCATTAAACCACTACGACTCAACTCAACGGACATTCTGGCAACATTGGTAAAAATCCACCAAACTATCAAACACAACATTCGCAATCAAGGAAACTACACGCATCTCAAAACAGAGCTGACAGGACACACATCGCTCACTCGTACATCTCATCTTATCACCCAATACCAGCTGACTTAAAAAACAGCTGACTTAAATACATCTTTCGGCGTCTCATGATGCCATCTTCAGTATAAGTGAATAATGCCTATGTAATACAAAGTTTATATAAAAGTTTATGCAAAGTTTACATGATACATAAATTATAACAATAATAAGGAAATGAACTTGGACTGGGTTCAGCATTAAACCACTTCGACTCAACTCAACGGAAATTCTGGCAACATTCGAAAAAATCCACCAAACTATAAAACATAACATTCGCAGTCAAGAAAACTACACGCATCTCAAAACAGAGCTGGCAGGGCACACATCGCTCACTCGTACATCTCATCTTATCACCCGACACCAGCTGACTTCAAAAAACATCGCATCCTTAAAAACATTCGCAACAATCCAAATATTATCATTCTCAAACCGGAAAAAGGCAACGGCGTTGTGGTCCTGGATTGTCAAATCTATCGTATCTTCTGTCTTAAAATTATTAACAATACAGAAAAGTCTACCTCACACTATCACGTGAAGCAAAAGTGCAATGACTGTTTAGAAAGCTTCTAAAGAAAGGCTCGATTAACAACAAAGTCTATAATGAAATCGTCCCAGAGGTTCTCAACTCTAACGCTTCTATGGCTTACCGAAACTATACAAGAAACGAGCACCAGATGAACGACCGATAGTTTCATCAATCACACTGTTAATTTCAAGGAATCATTTTAACTCCAAAAGTGGAGTACAATAAAAAGGTACAGAATGATTCTGTTTTTGGAGTTAAATTGTACTCCAAAATTTTAAGTCCATTTTTGGAGTAAGCCCAAAAGTGGAGTTAAAATAACTTTTTCTAGAGTTAAACGTAACTCTTAAAGTGGAGTTAAAATAACTCTTCTCTTGTTACGGAGTTGTTTTGTTATGTAGAAATTACGAAACCCTGTAGTTAGAACAATTTGACAAAACACACGAATTACAATTTTTTAAATGAAAAATATAATAACAACAAGAAATACAGTTTTAAATAAGATAGAAAAGATATGCACAATAATTATATCTAGAACGTCAATATAACTATATAATTTACCATCTTTCTGTAAATTTATGGGTGCTCTACGAATTACTTTAAATCTTGAAAGAACTTATGCACAACAGCTCGTTTCTTAGCTTCTGCTGACTTTTCTATTAGTGCAGCCTTTAAAAAAAGAAATAAATTCCCTGCTGAGGTGGGATATGCAATATTAAATATATAATAACAACCCACTAAAATTCCAAAGCTTGCATTGGCAAAATGGAGATATTAAGCTTTGAAAGAATTTTCCCCTCTTCAGCAGTGAATAAAAGAGACAGACAGACCGTTGTCTCTACGCTGACCAGCTTTGGAGTCAAAGACTTCATTATAACATCATCAATTGATTTATCCCTCTGTATGGCAAAACCAAAAAAATTATCTGAAAAAAATATAAAAGGACATATAAAAATGCACTGTTCAATTAGAGAGAGAGCAATCAAATGGCTATGACGGACAAATAAATCCTTCACCATAATATTTACAGAGCAAGTATGAAGTAAGCCTGAATATTTTGTAGTACATTCTTTTATCAAAAGTGGAAGATGTATTACTGGTACACTCTCCTCAATTTCTGAATTAAAGAAAGAATTAAAACAGTTATAACTTGTGCTGGCTTTTAATGCAGAAGAATTTACATTCGAATCCTCCTCTGCTAAAAGAAAGCTAAAATCAACAGCAAACACAATCCAAAATTATAAATGAAATCTATAAAATGATGTATTGTACCTGACTGCCTCTTTTGGATTATCCAAAATGCTTTCTTCCATGTCAGTAAGATGTGGTTTGACTGAAGGCCTGTTGGAAGCCAACTTAAAAAGCTTGGATTTCCATTGTTCTTTGAACGAGTCAACCATTTTTCTGATAATACTTTGATCACGCATAACTCGACCAAATTCTGCTTTTAACGAAATGATCAGAAAAAATAATGAACTAAGGAAAAAAGACATAATCTAAAGTTAGCATGAAATAAAATTTATTAAACAAGTACCTAAAAAATGAGGCCAAGCCGGTTCATAGTCATAAGCACAATTGTAGAAATATGACTCACTTCTGACACCAATCTTAGAGCAGGATATTGTTCTAGAACCTGTTCCAGAGCTGATGGTTCCAACAAGATATTTTCTCTCCTGAAGGGAAAAGTATCAATCCATCAATCTACGTTCAGCTTGGTTGTGAGTGTATTTTGTATTTCCAGTATTATTCCCTCGAATGATTTGAATTAATGAAGGTTGAGTTCTCATTCCGCCCTGTTGACTGTAATATCCAAAGAATAAATTATGTCATCCGCTTCAACTGCCGTGGGCTAACGATATGGTTGATTGAATAATATGAAAGGGTTATTTGTTTATTAATATATTATTTCATAAGTCTCCTTATATTTATAGCAATTGTATCAATTTTAACAATTTATAGCAATTATATCATAAGGAGTTAAAACAATTACAGTTAGGAGTCATAATTACAACCGGAGTAAAATGTTATGGGTTAAAATAACTCCATTTATTATACTCTGATAAGGGTTAGTTTAACTCTCTTGGCGAAGTTAAAATTGCTTCATGTGGAGTAAAATCAGCATTTAATCATTACCTGTGGTTATTTAACTCCATTTAAGAGGTTGATATAACTCTTAATTTTTTAGTCCACCAAAAGGAGTTATGTTAATTCCCTATTCGGAGTTGAAATAACTCCTTGAAATTAACAGTGCAACGCATACAAGTATAATTTAGCTAAGTATCTTAGTTCTCTACCAACACCACTCGCACCAGACGGCCACTCCACTAAAGTTTGTTTCACTTTCCTCGATGACTTCTCATCTTTCAACTCATCCACCTCTTGTCACAAATTCTTTATCTCCTTTGAAAGCCTATTCACAAATATACCACCGACTGTAAACATCAACCTAGGAATTGACGCAATACCACAACCCCAGTATCACTATAAACAGGACGGACATCGCGCAACTGTTTTTGATAGCGACAGCAAAGACGCATTTTTTAGTCAATGGAAAATTTTATGACCAGACGGACAGTGTTGCGATAGGTTCTCCCTTAGCTTCCAAACTTGCTAACATTTTCATGGGCTCACATGAACGAAACTGGCTAAACAATTACAACGACACTAAACCACTATTTTACCGCAGTCACGTTGACGATATTTTTCGTGTTTTTACTAATGCGACTGAGGCTATGAAATTTTATCAGCTAAGGAAACCTTTCTCTACTATATTTATTCAATTCGCACTGAAGATGGCATATAGTATGCCGAAACATGTTTGCTATAAAGAAATTTGTCGTCTATTTTAAACGACTTGTGATGAACTATTTTAGTTTTGCACCGCTTTCATACAAAAGCGGACTTATACGCACACTAATCGACAGAGAATACAAACTGGGCAATACGAACAATTGCTTTTAAAGAGACATAAAAAACATCACACCACTCTTTTACGAAACTCTTTCCCACTACATTTTATTAACCGAACCGTAAAACGATATCTCGACAACAAACAAGGCAATAACCTCAAACTGGACACCGAAACTCCTGACACGACCGTGACGACCAACACAAATAAATGTTCCAAAATAAGAACTCTATACTTCAAACTACCATACATCGGACATTACTCACGACACACACAGCGCAGACTTACGAACATTATGAAAGGCTTTTGTAAAGATATTGACATTAATTCATCTCATTACCTTATTATTGTTATAATATATGTATCATATTACTGTTATATAATCTTTGTATTACTTATGTACTTGATGTTCTGAAGATGGCATCATGAGACGCCGAAACATGTCTATTCTAAACAAAGCCTGTTTTCTACTAGCCACGTATAACATATCGTAGCAATGCGTAATATGGCGCATGCGTGCTTATGAATTTTATGGTCAATAGGCACAAGCACGCATGCGCCATATTACATTTTGCTACGATACGTTACGATACATGGCTAGTGAAAAACAGGCTTAAGTCAACACCATTCCAGATAAGTCAAAATCGTTCACTAACCTGTCTATTTACCAATAAAATGATTCATCTGATCGTTTTTGGACTTCCTAATCCATCAAACTAGTCAATCCATCCACCGCTTATCAGTCTGTCAGTTAATATCTTTCCAGATCAGTCAAAATACATTGTTCTGGTAACCAATGAGATATTAGAATTTTCTGCCATAAAGCTGAATTGTGAAAACTGATCCGAGTGATTATATATTCAAGAATTTAATAATAACAAATTTGCTTTTATCGATGAGTTTGAAATCACTTTGAACATGTAATTTTTGAACTGTAAACGACAGTTGCGTGACTGATTTAACGTACCCTATATCCGCCCATTGTTAACTAATCCTGTGTTTTGCTGAATAAAGTATTATGTCTTTACTCATCCTTGCTTTATATATCGCCTCCTCGGTTGTGCTTTGGTGATATCATTTTTTCTTGCCGTCATTACAAACATTAGCAAAGCCAGCCCTCAATGTAAATTTTAGATGACATCATAATTTATTTCCTTACAAATCTGTATTGT